GGGAGGCTGAGGCAAGAAGACTGCCGTGAGTTCAAAGCCAGCTTGAGGTACATAATGAGATCAAATCAAGGTCAGCCTGAGCTACATTGTGAGAACCTATCTCAAAAAAAAAAAAAAAAAGATAGATAGATAGGCAGGCAGGCAGGTAGGCAGGTGGGCAGACAGGCAGACAGACAAACAGATAGCCTGACCCATCAAATGGTAGCTGTCTCAACCAACTTCTGAGAGAAGTATCAAAACAGAAAAAATAAGACAAATGTTTAGGTCTTCTTTGATGGTAACTGTGGTCTTATTTGACTGGATTAAGAAATGCCTAGCAAATCAGTAGAGCACTCCAGGGTGTGTTTTGGTGGGTCATAGAGGTATGGCTTGGGTACTAAATATGCTTCTTTGCCTGTTCCTTCCTGGTGGTGCTGTTTCATGATTTGAAACTCATATTAACAATGGCCACTGCCTTCCCTTTTTAGACAATTCCTCCCCTTCACTTTCACAGGGCGCACTGTACATTTTGTATCCCACCAACTCCTTTAGTTTTTAGATTGGGGGGGCAGCCCTCTATTCACCTTAGTGATTCTAAGCCTTTTTACTCCTGAGCATGATCTCAAGTTGTATCCATTTACCTACAACCCTCAAGGTTTTTCTTCCTTAGTTCCCCTTTGTATAAAAAGTGTCATGTCTTTCCAACCAATCTGCAGCTGATGGGCAAACTACCCCATTTTTTTTTTCCTGGCTCCCTGTCACATAGAGCATTGTTTTTTCATCTTTGAATTTCAGTCTATTAACACTCTTTCAGGGTTATTGTATTTCTTACATAGAGCATCTTGATGGACTCTATCTCTTGATCCACTCTGCCTGTTTCTTTTCATGAGTGTATCAAGGCCATCTTTATTAGTGATTATGGCCAATCTTCTCTGCCTAATCTCTGCCATGCTATTTTTCTGCCATTGGTTGTCTACTTTTCCCCTTCATTCCACTGTCTGCCCTGTTCAGTGAGCCCTCTCTGCCACTGTTCCTGACACTATAGTCTTTTTTCTCTCTCTCTAGAATGTCCTTCAGTATTCTTTTGAGGGTTAGTTTGGTGGTCATGAACTTCCTCTTTGTCATGGAAGCATCTTGTTTCTCCATTTATTTTGCGAGATAGTTTTTCAGGGTACATCATTCTGAATTGGAAGTTATTTTCTTTCAGAGCTTAGAATACTTCATTCCAAGCTCTTCTTGATTCAGTAGTTTGTGCTGAGAAGTCTGTCTTGATTCCGATGAGTTTTCCTTCATAGGTGATCTGTTTCTTTTCTGTGACAGCTTTTAATATTCTGTTCTTGTGTTGAATTTCTGCGATTTTGATTATTATATGTCTGGGTGTAGCTCTATTTTAGTTATAGCTGGCTGGAGTTCTGCATGCCTCATTTATCTGAATATCATTTCCTTTTCCTACGCTTGGGAAGTTTTCTTTAAATATTTCGGTAAATAGCCTTTGTATTTCATTTGTGTTTACCCCTGTTCTTCACTACATTTTTTATCCTTAAGTTATAGATCCTTTTGTCATCTTCTAGCCTTTGTATTATTACTTCCTGGTTCCTTGTTATTTTTAAGAGATCTTTCCTTTCATGATCACAAGCTGCAAACCTGTCTTCAAGGTTTGATAGTTTATCTTTAGTTTCTTTCAAGCAGCTTTGCCAGCTTTCAATGGGGTTTTTAATTTCCTGGTAATTTTTTGAAACTGTTTCATGTATTCAAATTTTTTTAATATTCTTCATTGAAGGTTTCCCTCCTTTTTCTATATTCCTCTATTCTTCCATCTGTGTCTTCTTTAGAGTTGCTTAGCATTTCTTTTATTATGTTTCTTATATCTTCCTTTACTTGTAATAGTATTTCTATTTAAGTTCTTTTATAGTTTCACAAAATGGTTTCTTTATGTCAGTTGCTGTTGCTTCAGAAACTGCAAGTGTGCGATTCCCTATCTCTTCTGTGTCTTCCTGTCTTGGACCAGTACTGCTTGGGCTGAAGGCCAGAGACTGCCTTTTGTTTCTTCCTCTTGTCATGTTCCTGGTTTCTTCCAGACAATTGGGTAGTGGGGTCCCTGGCACTTCCTGTATTGGTTATAATTACTCTGAAGCATGCTGGCTAGGGATTGCTGCTGCTTGCTGCTTTCCTCAATCTGCTGGTAACTACTGGAATATAAGCGGGGGGAAAGGGTGATCAGGCTGGCCCCTCCCTTCCGAGCTGGTTAACCACAGGGAGTCTTCTCCATGTTAGTGTGTGCCATGTGGGTGGGGTTGGTTTGGTAAGCTTTAGGGAAACCTCAGCCTTGGGTATTAGATTGTGCACAAGAGCAGGACTTAGTCCAAACTATTTTCACCAATGTGTTCTGTGCTAGGAGTAGCTGAATGAAGCCAGCTGCAGTTCTGGTTCCAGGCTTATCCTGCCCAACTTCAAAATGATGTCTGACCAATTGCCCACTCCCATGGGAGGACTGAGTCCCCCACACTCACCACCGGCCAGTGCAATTCTCTGGTCTGCTGCTTCCATCTGCCACCAGTCTCCCAGAGTTAAGGCCTTTGGGCTTGCCAGTCACCTGCTTCACTTGGGACCATGAGTCTCTAGATTCCAGTGGCACTTCTTGCATGGTGGGATGGGCTCCTGTGATGGTGCCTCTGGCTACTGCCTTCATTTAAGTTTTTCTTTTCTTTTCTTTTCTTTTCTTTTCTTTTCTTCTTTTTTCTTTCTTTTTTCTCTCTCTATGGGCTTTGCTTCTCACTTTAGTTTCTTCCTGGGTCAATGAGACCCATTTCTTTCCTTCTAGTCTTCTCCAGAATGCTATTCCAGCATCTGGACTGTTTACCTCAGAGAGGCTGTTTACTCTGCTACTTACTGTTCTACCATCTTCTTGGAATCCCCAGGAATTTTTAAAAATAGTATCTACTTCTGTTTTTACTACTTTTAACATTCAGCCACTCATAGCACAAAGCAGATTGGTGAAAATAACTTGGATTAAGTCCTGCCTCTGTGTGCAGTCCAATAACCAAGGCTGAGGTTTACTAATATTTATCAAATTATACCATTAAAATTGATTGATTATATTATATTCAAATTAAACCCCATGAAAGCTGTTAAGATGGATGGATGGGTGGATACACTGGTACATTGGCACTCAATGGTAATTTGTTCTGGGAGTACAGTGAATACTAAAAAATGAGTACCAAACAAATTGTTTTGGCTGGAGAAAGCACCAAGTATTGAGGAAGTCAACACCGACTACACATTCAGTACCAAACAAATGACAAGCACAGGGCAAATTTTTCATGTCAAGATGTATGGAGTACCAAATTCAATGAGTTTCAGAGCAGTTGTGTAGCAAAGTATGGAAAAGTTCTGATAGTGCCTGAACATGTCCTGTGCATACTGTGTGTTAGCAGTTACTACTTAATACTGCTTGGAGATGTGTTTCTTTGTAGAACTGTTAAAAGGATCTCACTTCCTTACTGTCACACCTGTCTTCCCTTTTTCTATAAACAAAGCCTGAGTTGAATCAGTTCCACCATAAGTACGCAGTAGATATTTACTGATTGCACTCTAAGGACTCATGGACTATGTGTAATATGAGTATGTACTGGGTTGGATGGAAGTTGTCACAGGATGTGAATACAAAGATAACTAGTCTTTTACATCTGTGCATAATAGAGAATAGTCACTACTAAGAATACAATTTTTCAATAACAAATACCGAGGGCAGTAGATTTTATTATTCTTGTATTGGGTTTTTTGTTGTTGTTTGTTTTTGTAATAGAGATTTAACCCAGGGGCTCTCTATCAGCAAGCTGTATACCCAACCCTTTTTGGGATATTGAGGACTGAACCCAGGGCCTTTACACTGAGGTACAAGGTACATCCATTTTTTTTTTTTTTAGTCTTGTTTTGAGATAGGGTTTCTAAGTTACAAGGGCTGGCCTTGAACTTCTGATCCTTCTGCCTCAATCTCCTGAGTAGCTGGGATAATAGGCGTGCACCTGATTGTGATGACAATTTTGATACTAAGCTCTACAGATACAAGACTCTAGCCTTTTCTATCCCTTATTTTCTCTGGGTACACTGACACTATTGGCATTCTCAGAGTTAACACACCATCTTGGCATTTTTAGATCCAGTATTCCCAACACTTCAAAGCTATCTTTGTGTAATGTAAATACTCTTCCTTCAAAGAAAGATTGGGTCCTCCCAAATAACTCATTGGACCAGTTCTCCAGGAACCAAAAAAAAAAACTGAATGGGATTCTTATAGTCTTCCAAGACAAAGGCAGGGTTGTTTTATGTTATTTGAAAACCAAATAAAAATATTTGTAATTGCCATCTCTTTATGTAGCATTCTGGAAGAAATAAATAGTTGTGAACTAAATTTTGCTTTTTACAAAGGAGCAGGATCCAGATCAGTTAGTACACTGCTTTGGAATCTGATTTTGAATCTTCATGCTTTGAAAGATAAACTATTGTTCAGGAATCTACCATGGCTCTAGAGGAAATACTTAGTAGAGAATCTCTTTCATTTAAGACCGGTGGTAACTTAGTATAGAGTTCTTTAAAAAAACTTTCAAGATTTATGTCTGTAAAAGCTTCTAAAAAAGATCATTTTAATTTGGAAGATTTGCTGATACAAAGTGCTAGAATTTTCTGTTTTGTTGAGGAGAAAGATCTTCTAGTGAAACGAAACCATCTGCTCTCTTGGATATTTTCACAGTAAACCCAAGTCATCAGAAATAAGATAGACTTTAATTTACAAACAAATCTCTAGTCTAGTATTGCACAGTGTGCTTTTTAAAAAACATACACATACACACACACACACACATAGCAATACTGACTGTGTTGTTCACAAAACCAAAACTCACTGAAATTTTTGTCTATTATTTTTCTATTTCAGGGGTTTAAAAAGTCTGTGTTTAAATTTGTACGATATCTATAATGGACTTTTTATCTCCTCTCACTTACTTCCTTTACTGTTTACATAGGAATTGTGTCAGAAGTTAGAAAAGATGCATCTACATCACCTATACCAACAGGAAGCCAAAAGGATCTTGAAATCAAGACCTCATCATCTTTCCAATACAACACCCCACGGTGAGCTTTAGGAATTATTTGATTCACTATTCTCCATATAAGAACATTTTCTGAGATGTTTTGTTAAAATAAGAATTGGAAAAATATTGACTCTTATTCAAAAAAAAGTTTTCTACCTTGAAGCATATAAATTTGGCCACGTTAAACCACATGAAGTTTTTCTTTCTACTTGTACTTATTTAATTGATGATAACAATTGGCTGTCATAACAGTTCTGTTAAACACAAAGCTAATGCTACCCTTCATCGGAAAGTCTGCCCAGCAGCCAGTACCTTCTGATTTATCCTGGAGTGGTTATGCATTTGAACTGTAAGTTTAACTAAAGTAATTTTGAAAATTATAGTGACTTTTGTACTAAAGTATGTCAAAAGTTACTTATAGCAGAGATATTAGAAAGGTTTATCATTTGATCAGCCATTTCTGGAGTCAGAAAAAGAAATGCATGATATAAAATTTCTTATATCTAATATGCCAACTCTATATTATTCATTAAAGGCTTAATATATAAATATCAATACCAAAAGAGCTTGATTTATGATTCCTTGGGAATATGATTGGTTCAGAACACTTAAAATTTCTCTCACTTTATCAAATGAATGTAAATTTTAAGTCTTAATTTGTAGTTAACTCAGAGTCCACTAGACTTGGAAAGTAAGATGCCTAGAATGTTGGTCTCAAGGCTGATAATTTCAGAAGTGCTATGTACTGTAAAACTTGTTCTTTTGGCTTGTAGTCATTTTAAAAGGAGAGATGCATTAACATTTCTAAAGACTTGTAAAGTGTCGTTTCCAAGTTCAGTGGAAGTACTGCCTCACAGAAGCCATGCCTAGAACTCACTAAGCATCAGTGTACATTGTAATCTTACCTCTTATTACCAAGCCTTTATTTCTGGGGCCAGAAGGGTAAACATCTTGAAGAACTCAAGAAAAGACTGACACCAGATAATAATGACTGTAGTCTACAATATTCCCTGCACTGTGCAAAGCTCCTTAATTCATTTTCTGATTTAATCTACATATTATAATGAGATGGGACTACTATCATCCCTATTTTAAAATTAGGAAGCTAAAACTCAAAGGGACTGAGCAAGTGACTTATCTAAGGTTACCTATCAGACTCCAAAGCCATCTTTTTTTTTTTTTTTTTGGCACTGGGGATCCAGTTTATGACCTGACACTTGCCAGGCAGCACTTATGTCACTGAGCTAAATCCCCAGCCCCCAAAGCCATAATTTTAAACAGTGTAATAGGTAACAATGACAATTTCCCTATTGTAGTAGTCACCTACAATCAAAAGAAAATTTAACTTAGATTGCCACTTACTTTTTCTATTGTGATTTTTCTTTTTAATGCTAATATTGTTGACATTTGCCAGAGACCCACAGTGAGTTGTGACTGATTGATTCACTGACTGATTTTTTTTTTTTTTTTGGTTTGTTTTTTTGAGACAGCGTCTCACTTTGTAGCCTAAACTGGCCTCAAGCTCACAACAGTCTTAACTGCTTTAGCCTCCTGAGTACTACAACTGCAGGCAAGCACCACTATACCCAGCACACAATTTTGAAATATTAATGGTGCCTCTTTTGAACAACTTAACATTATGGCTGAAAATTATTTTCAAATAATTTCCATCTGGCTCACATTGAGGGACTGGAGGAGTTAGAGGTAAAAAGGGATAATGATCTGGATTTTAAATCGCAGTGAATTTTCCTATTGATGAATATTAAAATGAGATCTTCAACATCACTGTAATAGGTTTCTGGTGGTTGCATTTTAGTTTAGAAAGAAGCATGAAAAAGAGGAATGAAATATTTCTCCATAAGGATTTTGTTAAACATCCTCAGCACAAATTTTTTGAATAGAGCATTATCAACTTTGCAGAGTTTTTCGAGCCTTGGCATATGCAAAGACCTGGGATTAATTGCCAGCACCATCAAGAAAAAAAGTTTTAAAAAATAGTTGTGAAGGCATATTTATAGCCTTTTTAAAAATAATTCTTTGTTAGTCCTTAATACATGAATCAACTAAATGTAGATTTTTAAATAATGAACATTTGGCTAAATAAAACAGGTAAGGGCCAGGGATTTAGCTCAGTGGCTCAGGCACTTGCTTGGTAAGTGTGAGATTGTAAATTAAATCCCTGGTATCAAAAAAAAAACTGTGTAACACACCAAATTTTATCCTTAGAAGTGCACACTGGCATATTAGTGGTCTGTTATACAAAGTGCAGATTTGAAAAAAAAGATGCAATGCTATGAAAATCAGTTATCACTTTCCAGACTTCAGAATCAAGATTATTTGGATTGTTCTTATTTCAAAGTATACAAAGTCTACACTTTTCATGGACTACTTTTAGATGCATTCAAACTCTTAATACAAGACAAAACTCTATGGATTTTTCTTTAACAAATCATTAAAGGTACTGAGGAAAAGCCTTTCTTTCTCCTATTACCATAAATTTAAGAATATTTAAGACTTGCAAAGGAAAATAGGAGTGCTTCAGATGCTGACACAATAGAGGTTTTCATTTGATCTCTACAAACACCTAGAAGCATCCCATATCTTTCTGAATACGGTGAAAAATGACATGGCAGTCATCTGTCTCATTCACAGTGTAGGCTGTTAATTGTTCCCTCTGTTGGCTGTCAATATAATGTGAAATTTTCATTCTCCATTCAAGATGGAAAAAGTTGTGGCTGAAAATGTTAACATTTGCATTTTTATTTGTTGATTTATTTAAAAGACAGCATTTCCTACAGTAATCCATCACTTGGTAACACCCCAAATATGAATAATGTATTGTAGACTTGCAGTTACAATGTGTTATAAGTGCTCGACAGTAAAGGAATGTTAACTATGTTGCAAATGTAATATTTATCCACTCGTAAAAGTTTATTGCCTTCGAGGTTCAATAATACTGACCATAGGACATTAATATCACTTACCTTGGTTTTAGCTAGGCACTTTTATATGTAGAAATATTCATCTATCTCAGGCTTCCAAAATAAATATGTAATTTACAGTGCACGCAAAGAGGGCATTACACTGTTCTATGCTGAAGGCTGCTGTGGGCAATGCCTCTTCCTTTCCAGTTCCATGCCAGCTTCTAGCACTAACCACATGCTCCTGAACTGTCAGCACACACCACTCCACCTGGAGAGAGGCATGGAGACACTTTCCCCCCTGTTATTCTGAACATCTGGTGCTCTGAAAGAAAGCTGAATGTATACCTTTGCCACAATGAGATTTAGAGTTTATCAGTTATTCTTGGTGCTCTGGTCTCCAGTGTGATGCCAGAGATGGGCAGGTTACCATGTACTTCTCAAATGAATGTGTAAGGGCACAAGTCTTCCTGATTATTAACCCTTTTGTGTCTTTCACAACTAGGTGTATCCATTTAGAACAATAAGGAATATAAAAATATCTAACACTCAAAGCAAAAGAAGTAATGTTAATTAGCAGCCATGAGCTGTAATTGTGATCGACATTAAGATGCAGAATTATGTATTTCTTCGTTATAAATAACCTTTCTAATTTTACTTGATGTATGCCAATTTAATCAAAAAGTATACTTGCAACAAACAGATATTTGCATTAATGTAGTTTTGGATCTTAAAGTCTTTTATTTCAAATTGGACTGGGAAATAAGGTCTATCACAGCTATATATCCTTTTCTGCTGGTATCTTTATATTCACATATGTAGATCTGATACATTTTATATTAAAATAAAGTTATCTTCTGGGATTGTTCAGTGCAACAGAAATCTTGTCACTTTTTCAAATACTAATCCAGTTTTTATTTCTCAGTCTTACGACAACAAAATGATGATTGTTACAAACTGATAAGCAGAGGCAAACACCAGGCCCAAGGAAAAAGGATTAAATTCTCAGTCCCTCAAATGAAAGACTGCTGAGGCCTCTTTTCTTTGCCCTTCTTTGACTCACAGAAAGACTTGTACTCCCTAGTTTTTCTGTAAGATGTGAAGAGAGAAAGAAGATGTCTCCAAATCATGCCCAACTAGTAAATTTTTGTATGTTTTTTGTTTTTTTTTTTTTTTCAACAGAGTCTCATTATGTAGCCTGGGCTAGCCTCAAACTCACAGTGATCCTCCTGCCTTAGCCTCCCAAGTGCTGGGATTACAAGCGTGCACCACCACACCTCTCCCCAACTAGTAAATTTTGAAACTAGAATTAATCTGTATCTCCTGTTTGTCTCTCTAGCTTTTTTTAATTCTTCAGAAAGATTAGCTGGATTGTTTTGTTTTTTGTTTTTACAAACAAGTATTAAAGGATTTTGTTTTATTTCAAGTTATTGAAAGGTATGAAGTTTGTTTTTCTTGAGGGAGCTTCAGAAATAGTTGATAATGTGGTTTGAAGGATTTGATAGTTTATTGGGGGACATTTTGAATAGTTTAATTTGTTCTTTTTTAAAAGATCTTTTTTTTTTTTTTCAACTGGCAGGCCAAATGCTTAATGTGTTCTGAACATTTTGCTCTAAGTTTACTCCTTGATGAGTGTTCTACAGTGCAGTCACTTGTGCACAGCCATACTCCCAGCAACTGTCAGTGCATAGCTAATTAGACGGGGGTTTGCTCACGGAGGCTGAGATGCAGAGATCAGGCCTAGGAGCACTGGAAACCTGGCACTGTACTCTGCCAAAGCTAAGTGGGGAGGAATCTTCTCTCTGTTTTGAAGACAGTGTTTTTACCTTAAGGAACTTGACATGAAAATCATTGACTCCAGCTCTACATATGATGGCACAGTTTCTACAATGCTACCCAGGCATAGTGGCACTTGCCTCTAATCCCAACACTTGGGATGCTGAGGCAAGAGCAGTGCCATAAGATCAGGATGAACTATGGAGTCAGACCCTGCCTCAAAAAAGCAATCAATCAATGAAAAGCTCAAACAATAATGGCATTGAGTACTTGACTAAACTACACAGCGGAACAAACATTGCTGCATTTTTGTTTGTTCTTTCTGGGTGATACAGCATGGCTT